ATATTGGTGTGCTATGCACCATTCACAAGGTGTGCAGCTCTAACATTTAAAACATAGAACAATAAAATATATATACAGTATTACTTTATTAATCAAGCCTAATAAATAGGAAACGATTTTTAAAAATGATCTTTTATAAAACTTCCACATTTATACCATCCGCTTATTCTGCCTACTGCTATGAATACATACTGTTGTAATACACATTTTTTCAGGATTACTTGTGGACATAGGTGCCTAATGATTATAAAGCTCTGTTTCTGCTGCACTTCAAACATTTACTATACCTTTAAATTATCTTCAAATTTAATGGCCAATCACTCAATTTAACAACAATGGAATGTGTTTAAAATCAAAACAACAATTTTGCTCAACCTAGTAGGTCCCTACTTCGATCATATTTTGTTTGGTCTCGAGATGGGTATATACCTGCGTAGTGCTCGGTATTATACAGACACAGGGCGGCCGTATACACTCTGTGGAGTGACTGTTTTAGGAAAATCAGCTATGGGGATGGTTTACTCACCATAATTTCAAAAACAGTGAAGCCAATTAACTTTGAAAGCACCTGTAAAAATAAGAATAATAAAACAACAGTGACAATTTATTCAAAGAACAGTGGATTTTGTAACATTATAGAAGTCACGGTACATCAAATAATAATGCAACAATAATTTTTGAATGAACTTAGGAAAAAATTTTCAACTGCGTAGAAAATTAAAATCAAATTTGGCTTTATTCAAATGAATTGATATCTTCTCGTATTTTCTTAATAAAAAATACCGGTATAAATTTAATCCTTGATAATTGAACCGAATGAATGCAAGTTGATAGAAAACACCACACATCTTACAGATAACACTTAGAAATAAATAATTCAATTTTTGAACGGTTTCAGTTGGTGTCATTATTATAAGACAAGCCATGTGTCTCAGATAAGAAAGTATAATACTAACTCCAAGTACTGAAATACGTCGTGTTAGGAGTCAATATTTCGACATTAATTATGTCATCAACTGATGATTAATCATCTTATCTGAGATTAATCAGTGGACCTTTCGGATTTGTAAAATGCTCCATGTTTCTCATCTCCCTGGGTCACTGACTGCATGTCTGCCAAGTTATTTTACCTTATCAGCTAAATCCACACCCAAAGTCGTCTGCCCACCATCATCTGTTACCGTGGCAGCAAGCTTCCAACTAGAAGAATCGTAACATAAACCAGTAATCAGTGTAGTGAAATTGCCCTAGAAAAGAAAGGAAGGAATTGTTCAGAGGATGGTTTAAATATTTTCTAAAATATTAGTTTAAGCTGGACTTCTTTTCAAATTGGGCTTTTTTTCGAGGCTACTTTTGCAAAGTAAAGAATGGGGCTTATTTTCAAAATGAATGCTGTAAAATTTGGGAATTACTACCGTAGGCCTACTATATAACAATAAATAGGTCCAATGTAACATCAATCTCTATCATGGAGTGTATAAACCGGCATGTTTCTAATTTATTGTGTTTCTTGGAAATTCATGTGCAGTGTATGTACTCAAAAAAAAGCCCATGCTATCTTGAAAAGAGGCCCGTGGGCTTCTTTTCGAGTCTACTTTTGAAAAAAGATTTTAAAAAGAGGGAGGGGCTTCAATTCGAGATGGGATTCTTCTCAAGATTAAGCCCATTGGGCTTATATTCGATGTTTTATGGTATATAAGTTGCCTTAACAATCTGCACTTTTGTAAATCCTCATAAGGCAAAGTTTTAGGATTATATGTTTTAATGTATATGGGGTTTTCCTAAGAAATTGTATGTAACTTTTTTTTTTAATATCACAAAATAACTCCCATAACATAATAACATTAGGACATTGTTTAAATCAACATTAGCCTATATCTTACACGTTTATACTTTTTGTACTGTAGGCCATACCAGGGAGGTAAATTCCCATGACATTATGGTTTTCCGTTTCTATAGCGCATGATACGTGCATGACAAACGTTACGTAACCACTACTAACGGAGTCGCGCTCAGCTCAGTCGTACATGTGTCTATGTGTTTGCATTGTTTTGGAGTAATAACCTATCGTATATTCACATATGAACAACAAAACGAATGGAAATATATTTTGCTTAACTTTTGTTTTCAGGAACAGTGGTGCATCCAGGATATAAGGAATAGGAATGCTGATGAAATGAGAGTGGGATCCACACCACATCAGTGCTACTGTGGTTGTGGCGGTGATGCGAACATTTTAGTACTGTTTTTTATACATCTCGATGGCCGGAAATGAAACTTAAATTACATTTTAACTCTTTTTATATTAATTTTGACGAATTGAGTTTAAAAAATGAATTAATTACAAAGGTACCCGAAAATGGCACTTAAATACTTTCAATTCGAAAAACTACCATAAAGGAGCCCCACCATGGTTGTTGCTCAGGTGAGAAGATTTTGAGAATTTGAGACTCGTAAAGATTCCCTGGAGGAAAAATAGCACTTGAATAGTACAAATTTACCATGGTTATTGTTCATTTCACTCACACTGACCATTCGCCCCATGCGTGGAGAGAGGACCTTATATACTTTTCACAAAATAAAAATAACTAGCAAAGATAATTAAAAAACATGAAACCAAACACAATTTAAAATGCATAAATGACTAATAATAATTAATTCATGGGCTAACATATACTTGGGGTTGGTGTGAGGGGGAGGGTATCACACCGGGTCATAAATTACTATATGATAACAAAATATTATATTATGACGTCATTAGAATTCATTTGTCCAAATATTTTGTTATCGTATACACGATAAATCGATATCGAATCGTCCTAGTGTCAAAACTCCTCTCAATTCTTTTATTTTCTATGAACAATTGTTTTTAGCTTTTTATCGTTGTTGCTGTCGTTGCAAGTATAGACACTGAGACCTTTAAGCGCCGGCGTTCACAATTTGTGGTTATTGTAATCCTCAAAAGTATACAAAAACAACATACTGCTTTAATATTCTATTTATTTATTAATTATTTATTTTTAAATCCATTATAAAGTCTAAGAAAAATAACATCAATTATTATCGAACGCGATTAAACATGCAGGTGGGTGGGTACGATTCGGCTTTAAGAATTCAACCATCCTCTTCGTCGGTCGCCCTCTCCAGAGTTCCTGTTGGATTCGAGGTTGGCGAGGCCTCGTAGACTCTGCCAGGTATATGATGGGAGAGCTGGGTTAAATTAAGTCACTTTTTAATTGAAGGAAATGGTTTGATTTTAGTATTATTCAATGAGAATTTCATATGAACATCATTGCTTATATTAAAATATTGTCATTGTCACTTTTCCGGATTTGTAACTTGTTTTAAGGTGCCTCGCACTTTTGGTACAATACTGCAGCTATACTTCGTCCTGCCTCGCATGAAATCAGTTAAACGTAGTCACGAGGGTAGATGGCTCGCATGAATCGCAAGGCTCGCTGACACGCAGTTTATCAATACCTCAAGAGTACCAATGGTACTGGTAGGATCAAACACATCATGAACTTATTTCAGCTGCAAAATTATGGAGTTGTCTCGGGATCTGATTATGTGTTCCATATGTGCTTGATCCAATGAATGTGTGTATATTGCAAAGCGCCTAGAGGATTTGGTGACATGTTGGTGTACTGTTAGCTAAATAAGAATAAAAAATTGCAATGTTTATGGTTTTTATTACATATAGTTTATGAACACCTGTTACAGTTGGTTATCATAATTTTAATATATTTTATCGGCTTATTAATTCGATAATGAAATAATAATTATTATTCATATTCATTTTACCATGGAAATTGGCTCATCATGTGGCACATTCTCATAGAGCAGCTTGGCTCAGTCGGCTAATCTGGTGGTAGCTATTATGTGTGCACTAAGCCGTGTAGATCTCTAGGTTCCCGGTTCAATTCCCATCGCTGCCTCTCCTTGTGTTTCAGCTGGAGCCGGAGGGCTGAAATACAAGTTACAATAGCGCACTGTCTTTCGGATGAAATGTGCCGTTGGTCCTGTGTGCATTTATGACCCATGTGCACATAAAAGAACGCAGTACAATTTTCGGAAGAGAATAGGTCTCCCGGTGTACTGCCAAGTACTACCAGAAGGACACACTGGAAATTTTAACAATTTAGGTGTTTCAAAGGCTTATTTAATTGATTTTAGAGTGTACTAATAATGTAGAAATTTCATAGGGCCTATAGACATAATTGTTGTTTTCTCCCTGACGGGGCCTTGCCTGCATTATTCATTAGTATTTACCTATCAGTTGACGTAGGGCTAATTAATTTTTAGCTAATAGAGCTAATTACTTTGTTCTTAGTTTAGATTTTTGTTTGTTCATTACGATTCAATATAGTTCAGAAGGAGACAATTTTTGATCCATATGATGGATTCTATATTTTTTTCATGCATGGTATTTTTTATTTGCGAATTTTAAATGAAATATTTTATCAGCTAATAAATTTAACAAGGCTTACGTATTTAATTACTTTTAATATCGGTATAGTGCAGCTATAAATAAAAAGTCTAATAACATGTAATTAATTAAAAAGTTTACGAGATTTCAAACAACTGATCTTTATAGATATGTATATTAACATATACATATTTCTTTTGATAATTGATCTAATTAATTCTTACATAATGTATATATATATTCCAGGTTGATATTGCTGACAGTTGACGTACAACTTCTGCTGGAATCAGACGTCAAATTTAAAGTGAAGTTCGAGTGAGAAGTTATTTACTGGTTACTGTAACAAGGTATGTCCATAGGCATTTATATTTTTTTTTATGGTGGTTTTATATTTCAAATTCTGTACTAATTTTTTGTTAACGTCCACATGAGCTATACGTGGTGTAAACTGTGGCTTTCCATAACTCTGATCCGTACATTTTGTAACAAAAAACATTTCGAAACGTAATGTCTTTGTTATTAATTCCGGGCTATAAAGCCTGGATATTTGACTGTCTGGGGTCAGAACTATATAGCGCAACAGACCAACTTCTTAAACTCTGTTTTAAAGGATTATGACCGGCAATTCAACCCTCTAGCTACAAATAAAAAGGGGCAGTGATGAAATTGAAACAGAGACTAAAGGTTTGAAAAGATTTCCATGGTTCAGCTCATATCTAGTAGGGATTAGCTCACTGAATTAAGCTGTTTTTTTGTTTTGTTTTTTTTGTTTTTGTATTTATATACATTATTATAGCTATAACTTTTACAAAACCAACTAATTTTAACAGTCAGTAATGATTCAGTCAAGAAGAATGGTGAATATGAAGGTGAAAACAACCAACAGATTACATAGTCAGTTCAAACAAACTTGAATGTCGCACACACCAGTGATTTTACTCCCTAGCACTGCGATGACGATCTAGATAATGATAATGATCGTTTTCACCACCATCATTACCAAAAGTGTTTTCCTCTTTCGTTTTTCTTATTTAAATTAATCTATCTATTTGTTATTTGTTTTCCCTTTTCTTACTGCAGTTTTTCATTATGGGTTGTAAGTTGATTTTCCTATTTTTCTATCTTGGAACGTATTCTGCAACCATCGCAGGTAAGATCCCTCAGATTATCCTATTTTGAAACTATCTGCATTTGATTTGTTTGATATATTTTGCTTTTACACCCTCTTGAACTTAGATCAGAGAACAGATTTCACTGTTCCCTGCTTAGATCTTACTAATATTACGAAAGTTAGGTGGTCTGCGATTGGCTACGAACGGTGCATCCCTTAAAAAAGCCTTAAACGTTCAGTGGTCTGAGGATGGGAATATGTCCTTTCAGTGGTGTAAAAACAGGGAAATTTTGTCGGGCCGTTTGCCCCGTGCGTTATTTAACTGCTTAGCCGCATGTTTCACTTCCACAGGGTTAAATGGGTGATTTACCGGTTATGGTGGAAAATCAAAGTAATTTACAGTTTACAAATTTTTCTTCAGACGTAACCATTCATTTTTCAAATTCTTTATTCAATCTATACAATCAGTAGCAGCCGAAGCTGAATTGCAGCATTGTATTTACAAGCTTTCCTACTAAATGTAATACAATTTAAAATACTGTACAAAGGAATAAGACCATTACAAGAAAACAACTACGAGAAACATACAAATAAACTTTTACAATAACAATTATTATTATTATTATTATTATTATTATTATTATTATTATTATTATTATTATTATTAATATTATTATTATTATTATTATTATTATTAATATTATTATTATTATTTCTAAAACAGATGGAAAACACAAAAAACAAAAAATCAAAACCACAATCACAGCAAAACGGCAACAAATCATGTTTAAGATGATAATCTATTATCATCAATAAACATAATGATCGCGCTACTTCGAATATACGTCGACTTTCAACCGTTGAAATAATAGTACTCGTTAAATTATCAATGTTTTCATTTTCAATCTGTTTCATTCGTTTCTTAATTTCTTTATGTTTACAGTTTATATTGTGGGAGCTGTCTCTTATACACATCTAGATGTGTATAAGAGACAGTTTCTACATAATAGTAGACATTAAATCGATTAAATAGGCTTTGAAATTGTCAAAATTTTCGGGGGCTTCGCCCCTAAGACAACTGCTATTGATACCTTTTAATCGAAGCTCGACCACGGCCACTTTGCTTTCGTTCGACCTCGACCATTTTACATCATAGTCTAAATTACAAGAAAAGTAATAATTTATATTTCCATTTGTATTAATTGGGAATTTGTGGTATCGGTACTATAAATCGCTAAATATACACAAGCATAATATTTGACATGGTACAATCTTGTCATTTTCACAGAGTTGGTGAGTGAAGGACGCCCTACCAAGCAGATTTCTGTGGGATGGGATGGATGTCCAGGAAGAGCAGTTGATGGCAACACTGATACGAACTACGGAAAGAAGTCCTGCTCACACACTCGTAAGTAGTCCTACACCCGTTTGAAGCGAGCCACTTGCTTTGTTAGGAATGTGTATGCCTATAATAATGTACTTTTTAGTTTCACAAAGAGCCAATATTAACAATAATAAACAATAGTTATAAAAACATTACTAGAGCGCACTCCAAAAGTGTATCCTCCTTCCACATCTGACCTTTCCACTTGTGTATATATTTCCCACGTTCCTACACTGGAACCTACCTAATTGCATATTGTTTGCTACGATGATTCCAGAAAGGTGTTTATATGCATTACTCATTTTTTATGCGAAGTTCGATTCTCTTTAAATGGTTTAAAACGGTAGGACTTTAAATGGCCCCCAATGATGATGATGATAATGATTTCACTGCACACAAAAAAAATAAACCAAAAAAAAAAAACAACATAAAAATAACTAGAGAAAAACCCGTAAAAATATAACATTTCTACAAAATCAATTCATTTGATTATAACCATTAATTTGAAATTTAAAATGTAAAAATGATTTAATAAGAATATAAACATTAAGTAGGAATAATTTATAAAGGCCTACAAGTTCATAATTTCAGTAATTTAAAAATTAAGTATAAATAAAAGTTGTCAAGAAAAAGTATGCCTATGGAAGTTACCGTATATTGCACTCTGGATAGGAATAGTCAACACTTTATTTCATTATTATTATTATTAATAATAATATTAAAAAGGTAAAATTTACAGATAAAAAAAATATTTTTTATTTTTTTTTTATTTACAACTCAATAATGCCAGTAATGAAATAATTGGAGTAAATAAGTTATCTATGAAAATTTATATTAAAAAGTCTAATTGCACTCGGGAAGAATGAGTTCCTGTGGCGGGTCGTTCGTTTTAGTGTGGGCACCATTCTTCCTGATCTGCTGAATGTTAAGTATGCATTTAAAGGATGTGTTACGTCCTCCTCCTCATCATCATCGTCGTCGTTGCCGCCGTCGCCGACGCCGTCACCGTTATCGTCATTGTCATCATCATCGTCATTGTTGTTGTTATTGTTGTTGTTGGTTATTATTATTATTATTATTATTATTATTATTATAATGATGATTATAGATGACAATGATGATATTAAAAATAATTCATCCTTACATATAGAGAAAGGAGTTAACAATTGGTGGATGGTGGATCTAGGAAGGTCCTACAGGATTGCCTATGTGAGAATTTACAATCGAGAAGGTATGTCAACACGTCCACATTATAGGATGCTTCAATGTAATATACAATTTGCTAGCAATAATACCATTAAATAGGAACTTCCACTGATGCATAGTATCGGTAATGACTTACACTGAGCAAAGAAATCAAAGGCACATAGTAGTGCATTAAAAAAAAACTAAATGGAGGTTCACCTCTATATGAAAGGAGAAAGAGGGGCAGACTAAAGAGGGAGATGGAGAGATGAGCTGGTATTGAAAGAAGAGACAGCGGCATGGAGAATATTAACAGATGTCGTGGTTTAAGATTGAGAAATACTGAGAATGATGAATGATGAATATCATAGAGTACCACTGTTAATCTCTGATACTGGTTCACTTCCACCCGCTGCTCTCTGATTTTTGTTAGTATACTCTTGATTTTCAAGCTGAATATACAGAATCCGATCTACACATGAGGATATGGACAAGTACAAAGTTTCGAATAAATTATTTAATTTAAATAAATGCTTATGCAATGCATCATTAAAAGTCTTTAATATGTCCATGCATAACAATGGCAAAATTAGAAAATATATTGTTGGCCAATATTTATTGACAAATAATGTATAAATTTGAAACAATTAAATGTTCCTAGATTGCTGCAAGGAACGATTGGCTGGCGCCCAGGTTCGTGTAGGACCTAACTTTAATGGTATGCTGACTAATACCGAATGTGGAACGCCTATAACTGATGCAGAAATCAATGCCGGGGACGTGATAGACCGAGTGTGCAGTATTAATGGACAGTACGTTAGTATCTCGCTACCGACCGACAACTACCTGACACTTTGTGAGGTCCAGGTGTTTACACCAGGTATGGATTCATAATTCTTTTTTTAAGAATAAATGGATGATTGAAAGTACACAATGAAAGAACGAAAGAATCAATGAATCAATGCACGAATGACAACTTAACGGGATGTACAAAAAAAAAAAAAGGAAAAAAGATTTCAACAATTTCTTAAAGTTATTTAAAGAAGGTGATATCATGATACAAATCCTATTTACTATCATTATTATTCAGATGTTATAGTCCAGCAAACTTTGGTTGGTTTCATTTTTTTTTTTTTTTTTTTTTTTTTTGGCTGTATTTTTTAAATAGGATATATTGCACAATAGACAAGGACTAATTAAGTAATTAACTGAATTACATACATGCTAAATATAGCTAAAATAATTAAAATGGAGTCCATTTTGCATTTGAACTTTGGACATTTGAGGTAAAATGTTATTTTATATTTATTGTCCTTTAAAATAATATTTAGTATATTAGATTCTTTTAATATCGTAAAAGTACAATTATTGGTAATAAACGGTTTAAAAATGGCGGCCATTTTGAAATTGTTGGCTACCCACTTCCGCATAAAAAAAATGTTGCACATATTTTTTTATATTCAGTGATGACTATTTTACAAGATATCCATTTTTTAGAAAATATGCAACCTTTGATTTTGCTACAATTTGTACGACACTATTAAGCGGCAGAGTATTCTATAATGTATAGGGCAAGATTGCTGTTTATAATTGTGCGGTCGAGGTGTCTGGATATACATTTTTTTTTATTATAAATGGATGAATGAATAAATGAATGAATGAAGTACAATGATTGATGGTAGGCCTACAAATAAGAAAGTCATAAATAACTCCAACGGCAAATTCACAACAAAAATCACAAAATGCAGTAACACAACAATCCGCATGTATGGAGGGGAAAATTCAGAGATTTTAACAATTTCCTAAAGATACAACCAGAAGATGATGTCACGATGCAAAATCATATGTATTATTTAAAATTATTCAGATGTTAAGAGGTAGAGCACTCAATAATTTTGGGGCGAGATTGCCATTTATTTACAAAACTTTGTGTTCTAAAGAAGCTTTTTTTCTTAAGCACAAGGATTGAATGTTGATCCTGCAAACTATTTAATTTCAATACAGCACGCTCACCGAAGCCGACTTGAAAAAACAAACTCTTCCCAATATAGAATGGCGTGACTAACGATTCAAACAACATTTATAAAGCATTTTACATCATAGTCTAAATTACAAGAACAGTAATATTCATTTCCGGCCAATTGCAATAGTTTGGAATTGGTGGTATTGGTATTGGTAGTACACTCGCTGTCATTTTCATAGACTTGTTGAGTGCCGGACGTCCTGCTAAGCAGAGTTCTATTGGATGGGATGGAGTCCCGGGAAGAGCAGTTGATGGAAATACTGACACCAACTACGGACAAAAAAGCTGTACACACACTCGTAAGTAGGCCTACACTCACTTTTGAAGTGAGCTGCATGTTTTGTTAGAAACGTGTATGCATATAATGATGTATTAGAATTCTTTTAGTTTAATTAAAAACAACACCATATTTACGACAACACAACAACAACAACAACAATAATAATAATAATAATAATAATAATATTATTAATAATAATAATAATAATAATAATAATAATAATAATAATAATAATAATAATACTAATAACAATAATAATTTTTTTCTTACATCTAGAGAATGAAGCTGAAAATTGGTGGATGGTAGATCTAGAAAAAACTTCCTTGATTTATGGTGTGAAAATTTACAATCGAGAAGGTATGTCAACACGTTCACATTATAGGATGTTTCAACCAGGGGTGGCGCCAGCGTTTGTTCAATTACTACGATACTACCTGTGTAACTCACACCGTCGGAACATGGAGAAAATAAAATAAATTTAAATTTATAAATAAAAATAAATTTTATTTTCTCCATGGTCGGAACAAGTTGAATATACAATTTGCTAGCAATAATAACATGGAGATCCATTAATACCGGTTTAATTTTATTCACTGAAATGTGCACCACATTTTGAAGAGATCGCCATTTGCACGTTAGAGAATGCAGTACACTATTTGGAAATGAATGTTTCCAATATTACCACCAGAGAACCCCACTGATAGGTCGTCGGACTTCCATTGCTTACCCTTCATGTTATTTTGTTCATATCAAATAATCGATCCCATTTTGTTCGCGTGCCCTTATATTTTGCGAAATTTGCGATAAGAAAACGATCACGAAAATTACGGGTACGCAAAAATGGAGAAAATTTGAACAAAGATGTTTCCCCCAAAAAAACGATCGTGAAACTATATAAAATTGCTGAAAGCTACGATAGTTTTGTCATAAGAACGATAGCGATTTCTGTAATAAAGATATTACGAAACCTTTATGTGGCTTTTCTCGCAGAAGCAAAACAATTCATTGTTTTTGTTCTGGTTTTTCGGCTTTTCCCTATGGTTTTATTTTTTTCCATTTTAAAAACAATAATGTATAGAATGTAGGAAGAATATCGACAAAATTGGTAAACATCGTAATCTTAATGAAATGTAATGGTACAGGCCCATAACATTCAGCAGAGGCCTATGGATTATAATTATTATGTCATTGTGAATGAATTGTTTGAATGATATGTATGTATAAAAGAATAAATTCATCAATCAATGCCTGAATGAATGGTAGGCTTGATAATGTGTAATTGCCGTACCATAATTATAAGATAAAATAGTGTAAAACATTACATAAAAGAATAAATTTATAAATACAAATTTAAGAAAAATGTCAAAATATTATCTTTAACTATTAAAATATATCGCTTAAATTGAAAAAAAGTAAAATGAAAACAGGCTATTATTATACAATATATAATTATTACAATTACTACCCTCACCATAATAGAACTAATAGTAGGCCTAACAATAATAAGTTATGTCTTCTGAAAGTGACTGTTGACAAGTTTGATGTGGTTGTTTACTTGCTTTTATCTAAAAAGTCGGCTTCGAACATATTTGGGACGTTTAAAGTTATTCTGAAAGCGTAATGGAAGGTGCCTGTGCTTTTATTAATCTTCTTTAACAACACTAATTATTCCCAAACCGAGACTTGTTTTGATGTCATGTGGATCGGCGTCGTTTCTGGTAGTGCCATTCTTGGTTTAATGGCCCTCGTGCAGTGAGAGTTAATTAGTGTACCTTGATTTTTTTGTTATTATAAGGCATAATTTGGTCGTTTATAACTTTAAGGTGAGGCCAGCCATCTGTTGATTCAGGTATTTGATTATACCTTATAGTAGTAGAAAAGTCTTAAAAACTTTTAAAATCAAAATTTTAACCCCCTTACAATCTGACAATCAATTACGTCTTCATCGAAGAGCGTAGACTAAATCTATTTTCCATTTTGAGCCTTTTAATCCTAGCCTTTCCTTAATAGATGTCTTCATAAATCACTCATCCGATGGGATATCTAATAGGTAAGTATTCGTCTTTGCGGATTACTGGTATGAGCCATATATACGGGTACGATTAACGAGTTAGATAAACTAGTTTTTGCTCTGAATGATGTTACAATTTTTCATTAGGTTGTGACTTAGATTCTGGATCAAAAAGAGGTGTAGGATTTCTACCGTTGAATGTGTCGCACCTTCATTTTATTCTACAATCCCTCAATATGTTTCCTTTCTTCAAACGTCTTACTTAGAAACTCGTCAGTTTTCTACATATTGATCTTTAGAACACACTCCACACTCTAGCCGTCTGCCAGTCGTTGTAGTAGAAAAACTCCTAGCGAGCGATGTTTTTTTCTTTAGTGTAACCGTTGCTGTACATTTATTAGTATTCTCATCCTATAATGGTTTATAATACTGGATTGTTGACGATTTTAGCTTCATTTTTAAGGAAATCACTGAATGTATCTTCTCCATCTTCCGTACAGTGGCTTGGGAAACTTTCCGCTATTTTCACGTTTTCGTTACTGCTAGCAATGCTGTATGACTCATCGCCACCTTTGTGTTGAGAAAAAAGAAACGGTGCGTTTATTAAACTTAAAACAGGGCCAATCATATATCTTGCGCCCTGTAAGCGCCAGCAATTGTAAACAGATCCCCGAATTTCTGGTCTAGCAGCTTCTTGTCTTTTGAGAATGCCTCTCTATGAAGCTCGAGTAGACACGAAATTGCTTGTTTGGCAGGTCCATCGGTGTAGGTAGGCCTACCTAGGTATAATTTATCGGAGGCCGATTCGGAAGAACGTTTTTTTCCAATGAGGATAATGTAGTAGATCTCCTACAGGTCTTGGTCATGAAGGTATTCTCTTGAAAGTTAATCAGCTAATTTCGAAAGCACATTTTCTGAAACATCAGCTTTGAAATCAACTTCTACTTTCGGTTGAGTCTCTTGTTTTTTGGGGGTTTTTTTTCTATTTATGGTAGGTAATAATTCTTAAGTCATCATACTACTCTATTTCAATTTGTGGTCGGACGGCAACTAACTCATTTTTGACCTTCATCCTTGCTAGTTCAGCTTGTATAGCTTTGATCTCAAGTTCTTTCTTCTTTTTTTTTTTCTTTCAAATAAATGAGATCAGCGTCTAGTCTTGCAGCTTCTGCAAGTTTACAAAATCTTGATGACTTCGAAAGATACTAACAGCTAAAAGATAGTGTCGCTATACAAATCTTTTATTATTATTATCATTATTATTATTATTATTATTATTATTATTATTATTATTATTATTATTCAGGCGTCAATCGCTAAAGCATTCCATAAGGTTGGGGGCGAGATCTCAAATTGCGGTTTATCTTAATTTACAAAATTCATGCTCTGTGCTATGGAGAGGTTTTTAAATGATTGAATGTTGACAGCCTGCTAGCTATTAATTTTCCTATGCACGGTCGCCGTATCGGGCTTCGCTGAAAAAGAAGTCTTCAAGATATCGAGATGTGTGACAAATGAAATATTAAATAATTACATCCTTTTTTTTTAAATTGCAAGAAAATGTAATACAGTCCGCCCTCCAATTCGAAACCACTCTGTGTATCTGAAACTTGGGGTTGTCTCGGGATTTGGTCTCAAATTAGAAACCTCTAAATAGAGACCACAGGCTTGAAGTAGTCTCCAAGCAGCATAATTTGAGGGTAAAAGAACCTGAAACCTCCAAATGAAGACCAAAGATAAAAGTGGTCTACAAAAGACAACATGGGACAACTATTTATGTATTTCAAAGAAGCTGCTGTTTGCTTATAATTTTTTCAGGAATGTGAAGCTGTTTAAAACACAATGAAGAAAAAATCTAAACAGATACTGTAAATTAAACATAACATTTACACTTTATTTGAAAGCTAGGTTTGGGTATATAAATGTCCATCCTTTACATAAAGAAAGATGTTATTTTCTTTTGTGTTACTTGGCCTTTCCTTATTCCCAATCTTCAATAGGCAATTCTCTAATTAGTTTGAAAGTTCCTCACGGCCATGATAAATTTGGGGATAAAAGCCCCGTGTGCTGGATTCGTTGTTTGGGGAGGGGGTAGAGACAAGTACTAAAAGGGCCGCGCCCACCTCAGTACTATAACGCCATTGTTGGAGCCCCCACCGCCAGTGGCGTACTACGTGCAGTGCAGCTATTGCAAAGCACTTTGACCAAGGGCAATTATAGGCCCATTCATAAATAGACCTAAAATTAATAATTAAAATATTTAAACAATTAATTTTGAAGAAAAAATAGGCAGCGGGACCCTAAATAATATTCGGTTTTTAGAGGAGTAATTATTGATTACTGAGTTCTATATGGTGCATTCAAGCCCGGGCCACAAGCCTGCCCGACCCCTATTTTTTTTAATAGAAAAAAAAATTTGGAGTGTTCTTAAAATTTCTCTTTACTAGCCCTGTCCAATACAGTACTTTTTTACTAGAAATTGCAAATTGCAAGTGAAGTGCTGCGAAGTAAAACTGCATAAAATGTTCTTCGAACAAAATTATTTATGCGAGTCAAGTGAAAATAATGAATATTAAAAATATAACAAATAATATGAGACACGACCCATTGTCTATATTAGAACGGCGTTGGTACCGTGTACAATAGTGTTTTGCTGTAGTGACATCTCGCTGCTGGCGACTCGCTGCTCTGCTGGCCGATGACTCGCTGCTGGCGAATCGATCTGCGCATGTGTATAAAATTGTATTTATTTCCGAAAACACTATGCCAGTCTACAACAAGCGTCGCCTAAATGTAATAATTAGCACGTTGAAATAGGCTAGTAAATAATTTTAACTGGGTTCGTAAATAATATTGGCCTCAAAATATTGAGA